CCATTGTAAAGAATGTCTCTGACATTGGTGACCATTGTAAAGAATGTCTCTGACATTGGTGACCATTGTAAAGAATGTCTCTCACATTGGTGGCCATTGTAAAGAATGTCTCTCTCACATTGGTGGTCATTGTATTGTAAAGAATGTCTCTCACATTGGTGACCATTGTAAAGAATGTCTCTCACATCGGTGACCATTGCAAAGAATGTCTCTCACATTGGTGGCCATTGTAAAGAATGTCCCTCACATTGGTGGTCATTGCAATGAGTGCCCCTTAAATTTGTGATCACTGGGAAGAATGTCCCTTACATTGGAGATCATTGTAAAGAATGTACCTTCCACTAGTGACCATTGCAAACAATGTCTCTCACATTGGTGGCCATTGTAAAGAATGTCCCTCACATTGGTGGCCATTGTAAAGAATGTCCCTCACATTGGTGGCCATTGTAAAGAATGTCCCTCACATTGGTGGCCATTGTAAAGAATGTCCCTCACATTGGTGGTCATTGCAATGAGTGCCCCTTAAATTTGTGATCACTGGGAAGAATGTCCCTTACATTGGAGGTCATTGCAAAGAATGTCTCTCACATTGGTGGCCATTGTAAAGAATGTCCCTTCCACTGGTGGCCATTCATTATTTACAGATACTTTAGAAAGCATCACTGATTACATATCTGGAAGGCAGCTATTGTTCACGGCTCAAGGAACCCCTGGCCACTGCTGGAAGAACCCAAGGGCTCCATGGGACCCCCACTGGTTGAGAGAGGTTGTGCTAAACTGATGTGTATCTGTATGAGCTGTAACATATAAAGAGCAATGCACACCCACCAATTCCATCTAATCTCACTGGAGTCACAACAAGGGAGAATCCTGACTGCTTGCTATGAACTTTTTGCTCTTCCTATGTAATCATTTGCACTTCACCGTCTTATTGCATAAGCCTGATTCACAAAAAAAATATAAACAACTTATAAAAGCTTTTGTTATTTTTGGCTTTTCAACAATTCCCTAAACAGGCATATGAAGAAAAAAAAAACTATATTCTATATATTCATTCAACAGAAGGGTAAATGATATGAGTCTTCCACTATCCAATCCAAGGTGCTGTTTGTTCTTTTATTTTCGCTTGGTGATCCTACCAGCAACAAACCTTTTGTTGTGGAGTGACAACGCTCTCTCACTTTATTGTATCAATGGAGGAGTAGCATTGTTACAGTAGGACTCTACTACATAACGCCTCCCCTTCCCCGTAACATGGGGATGTTCAGGTATTTTTAGGCACTTATTGAACAGACTGAAAGGGAGCAAATGGAAGTTCACTGATGGGGCTTCCGTATACTTTTAGAGTTTTGGGATACAAGGAAGTTTGAGGGTTCTGGATGGGGAGTGTTTGTGCATTAGTGTTAGGGACAGTGTGACGGGTTTTAGGATTTTTTTTTTGTTCGCACCAATGAAAATGACTGAGCTGCAATTCCAGTGCCGAGAACCAATACGATGAACGTATGGACCAGCAAGAAATGAATGTGAAAAAAATAAAATGATCACATTCCAAATTTCATCCAGGCAAAATGTGACCCCCCTTGGTGTCTTCAATTATTCCCATAGCATTCATTCCAAATGTGATTCCCCTGATATTATATTAACACCACCATATAGATTCCCTTTCCATCTACACCGTATTTCATTTGGTTATTGTATATATTTTGGACATTGTCTAAATATAAATACAGCTACTTTTTCTTGAATAGCCGACTTAAACCTGAACCCCAAGCATATATTCATAATTTTTTTTTTAAAAGACAGGCAGGGTATTTGCTGAATTTGACTAAGGATTGTAGTTCCTGTACAGCAGAGCTCAGACTAGGGGAGAGAGATGCAGCTAATGACCCAATCAGTTGTATCGATTGCAAAAAGCATGCTAATACCCTGTTTCCACGAAAATAAGACCTACCCCGAAAGTAA